AATCAATCAGCCACTAATTAGAGTTCAAGCAAATTTTAAACTAATTAACATTTTTCTGTTGATTAATGAATATTAATAACATTACAACTTACAAATTAATGATCAATCAAAGATTACTCCTTCTTATTCGTTTATCTCTTACTAAATTCTACTAAAATGAATAAATATTTATTCAAGAGAACTAACATATAATCAAATTAAACCTTTCATTAATTTAGAAATCTTCGATGATCCCGTTTTATATTTATTTTTCAAAATATTAAAACGTTTTATAAAAGCTAAAACTTTAGTCATTTATTGAAAATGTCATAAATCCAGCTCTTTTATCATCCAATCTATTAATAGTAGGGAATTCTTTTTGAATCGAGTTTTGAATCTCCTCAACTTAACATTCTTCCCCACTACTAAATTTAACAGATATTTAATAACCTTTACTATATTTTCTAATTATTAATAATAAACTTACTATCTTAAATATTAAGGAGTTCCTAAACATTTGAATTAACCAGCTATCAAAATACCTATTCTTTAACTCAAACTTTCAGCCTCCTCAATAGTATGAGTAGTCATAATTGCTGAGCAATTTCGCAATTAAATGTTTCTTTAGAGAGTGTTAAATAAAAATCTTCTTGATATTGGATCCACTCCAGTACTTGGTTCATCAAAGAATGTGATATCACTTCCTCCAATCAGAGCATCTGCAACACACAATTTTCTTTTATTCCCACCACTTAATTGTCCAGCCTTAGTTTTGACAAACAAATCAAGTTACATAGTTTTGATAAAATAATCAACTGCCTATTGTAAATCATTTCCTTCTAATCCCTTAACTCTACCAAACAATTGTAAATGTTCAATAGGGGTTAAATTTTCCCAAATGCAATCAAATTATGGACATATTCCAACGTGCTGCATAATTTCTTAATTTCGTTATTTAGGTTCAACACCATTAATTAATGCAACACCTTATGTTGGAGTGTTAATGCCAGTGAATACATTAATAAGAGTGGATTTTCCAGCTCCATTTGGACCAATAATTCCAAATATTTCTCCTTTTTTAACCCCAAAAGTCAATTTCTAAAGTGTAGGCTTATCCTTGATATATTCCTTCTCCAAATATTTGCAAATAATGGGATCAGAGAGATTGCCTTTTTCTACTCTAACCCTCTCATCAATAATTTCCTGTTCTAAATTCTCATTCACTTTCTGCTTCCCTTCATTTACAACCGTTGGCAAAGTCAAGCTCTTGGATTCAATTATGTATAAAACAAGTACTTAGAAACAGATTTAAGCCAATAATATTAATTAGAATGCATATGTTCTTTATATTAATTAAGGAGTTGTGTATAGATTGAGTTCATACATCTTCTCGAAATTATCTGCTAGAAATGTACAAGCTTCGAAAAATGCATAAAAAGGAGAAACTAATACAAAAAGTACTTGGAATATATAGATTAGTTGTTCTGCAATCACACTATCAAACTTTTGATAAAAAAAGTCTATAAATGCTATTAGAATAAAAGGAACACAGAAATTCACAAAAAAGCAAAACATAGAATACAGTTTTAATGCATTCTCCAAAGTCTTAAATAGAAATCCCATTAAATAAGCAAAAAGAATATAGCTAAATCCAAAAAGTATATAGCATGATAATCCAGCTCCTATGTATTTAAATGCAATTTCTAAATTCAGAATAGCTGATATTATGTAGAATAATGCTACAAAGCATAGATAAATGAGGTAATCAAATATCAATGTTCCAACCCAATAAGGAAATGTTCTACAACCCATGCCTATCAATGCTTGCTTCAAATATGTTTCTTTCTCTAATACTGGCTATGTTATGTAAACAGTAGCATTAAAGCAAAAAGCTAATACACTGCAACTACTCAATAAAGATATTTTGAAAAACTCAACTGCTTCTACTAAATTATTGTGATCCATATCTGTGAACACATTTTTTAATATTTTATCAAAATCGACTCCAGCAACAGTTGTCATTCCTAAAATAAAAGTTAGCATCGGAATTAGAATTGAGAAGTAATTAGTACTTGTTCTTATTACAGTATAATATCTCCTTAAAAATATTGCTAGTAATTATGAACTTAGCTTATATTAAGGATCATTTTTAAGGCAATCTGGAATATTCTAATTGAGTTCTTTTTCCTCTGTGAATTCCTGAATAATTGGAAGACTATGAAAATCTTCATTTTCAACCAAATTGCTTGCGTCCTCATCATTTTCAGCTGGAATACCCATACTTTATTTGACTTATTTAATTTCACTCTTTCTTACATAATTCAAATGAATTTTTTCATCTTCCAATCCAATTTTGACAAAGGCATCTTCTAAAGTTTTCATCTCTAATCCTATTTTAACATTTAATGACTCCAAATTATAAAATAAATTTCCCAGCTTTCCTTTAGAAGCAAAAGGAATATTAAAGACTAATTTATTCTCAGTTGAATGCTGAGTCTCTAAAAAACAATTAGGTATCATTTCATTAACTTTATCATAAATTTGATTTCTTAAATTGTTGTTATCAAATGATAATTTCAAATTATAACCCTCTCCAAATTTCCTTTTAATATAATCTGAAGATCCCACAGCAAGTAATTGTCCTTTTGACATTATTCCAATTCTATTGGCTAATAATTCTGCTTCATCTAAATGATGTGTAGTTAAAATAATAGTCCTTTTGTCTTCTCTAATCCTTTCTAGTATATTCCATATTGCCCTTCGAGAGTAAGCATCCATACCAGATGTGGGTTCATCCAAGAATATGATTTTTGAGTCTCCAACTAAGCTCATGGCCAAAGATAATTTCCTTTTCGATCCTCCTGATAACTCTGAAATCTTTTTATTCTGTTCTTCCAACAGCTCAGTCTTCTGCAAAATCTGTATTATTTCTTCTTTATTTAATCTACCTTTGATTCCACTAATAAATTCCAAATGCTCTCTTACAGTTAGATCGTTATAAAGACAATCTTTTTAAGTGCATAATCCCAATGATTTTCTAATTTTTTCCAACTATGTGTCAAGATTCATTCCATACATACTAACAGATCCAGATGTTTTTGAAATCATACCTGTCAATAAACTGATGGCAGTTGTCTTACCTGCTCCATTATGTCCGAGTAAACAAAATATCTAAGATTCGTAGAGATGTAAACTAATATTATCTACAGCGTTAAGATCTCCGAATTTCTTTAGAAGGTTCTTAATTATTATGCTTGGAGGACTAGTCATTTTTACATCTTCATTATACATTGCAGAACTACTTTCTGAATCATTTTCATTTAATTACAAAAATACATTATTTGACTTATCTTAAATTTTAGTTTTTTTCTAGTTAGAAAAGTTTAAAAAAAATAATGGATGTTTTGCAATTCCATATTCATTTGGAATAACTTATTCAAAATAAATAAATAGTATGAAATAGACTACAAGTTAAATTGCTTATTAAATGCCAGCTTATACTGTTGAATAAGTATCACTAATGATTTCAGTTGGAAATAAATTCAATTTTGTTAAGTCGACTCCAATTTCTGAGTTCATAGAAGAAATGTATGAAAATGCTATTCCACATTATGGACTTATTATAGTCATTATGATGTAAAATGCTATTTTATTGGCTACATTTTCGACAAATGAAAAATATATAAAAAAGGTAAAGGCAATTTATAAAAATGATTACATTTCACCTGCAATTTTAACTTCATTAAATAAACTGGATAACAGCAAATTCTAATTCATAGCCTAAAATTAGTAACCAATTCTTACAGCATAGGCAAATAAAATGTAAGGCCATAGCATATCACTAAATGATACATGAAATTCTTCATCCCAATTTATACTGAAAATTGCATTGCATATCAACCAGCAGACTTCAAATATAATCACCGACTAAAACATAGATTCAATAACATTACTATTCCAACTCTTATGTATCCCGTCAAAATCCAACCAATCGTATACGCCTTTTCACTCATTCCCATAATCTTAGGTTATTATAAGGACTTACTTTCTAAAGTTCTTTGTACCTTTTGCTTTTCTCTTCAACTAATTTTATTAACATTGACCTCTGTGTTGAAGTCAAAGCAATACTGTAGAGTAAGGGCATCAACTATTAAATAGCTTGCAATTAAGCTAAATTGAATATTGATTCTCAAGGTACCTTTTAGTGATAACATACCAGCCACAACAATAGGTAAAATAGATTCGATCAAGAACTCTTTATTTCTAAGACTCACAAGCAGATTTTTTTTAATGACAAAGCCTATTTATTCACATGTGCTCATAATTATAAAATAGACTTTTAGATTTTCTTAATTTTATTTAATATATTTAAGAATTACAATTTTTATGCATATTTATATGATTATAATAAAAACTAAGCAAAATTCTCATTCAACCAATTCGTTTTCTCTGTAAAATCAAACCTAATTATTTGAGCAATTTTTATTAAACAATTAGAAACACAATATTAACAAAGACTAATTAAGAATAAAATAATTGCCATAAATAATTTTATACCATAGAATAGGTGAAATATAGTACTTAAAATGAATATGATTATTATAAAATACAATCATTGAGTTCAGCAAATATAAATTATACATAATGATTTTCTTTTCTTTGTACAGCTGTTATCATAAAAAAGAATTAGAACAATTTAAATCCTTAAAAATGCTCAAAGCTATTAAAATAAAAGTAAGGAGTCTCGAAAATTTATTTTAAAATAGAATGTCCTTATATTATTATAAAATTAGCAATTGGTTTTCTCAAAACTAATTTATTAATATATAATTCCAAAATATTATTGAAATTTGAGGAGAATAAATGTCCCAAATAAGTAACTAAAAGCGTGATTTATCGTCCAAATTGGTGAATCCCTTCATTGAATATCTTTTATTTTGAGGTAGACTATTTTGACCTATTTATGGTTCATTAATTATATGTAATAATATTTAAAATTTATTTCTATTTAGTTAGAACACTGATAACATATAAACCTATGGGGCATCAAAAGACTGGAAAATACTCTATGGTGTTACTGTAGCTTCTTTTTATTTTAACTTTATTGTTATTAGTCTAAACTGGCTTAACATGTTAACAATCCAAAGAGATAACTTCCTTTGCCATCATCATTAAACAACATTTATACTATTAAGTTAAGAATTTATTCACTTCCTCTTGCCTATCTGTAGGAAGCCTACAAGAAGATTACTAATTCACATCATCCTAATAATTAATTATGCTAATAGCTGGATTGTTGTTAACATAATTCTTTTGGGAGGGATTCTTTTTGTATATTTTCGATGAGTTCAATACTTTCTCAAATTCAAAGGCACTAAACTATTGCTGATCATCAGAAGTAGCAAATGATTAAAGATTATGTTGAATTTAATCCTTATGCTTTAGATAAAATTCCTTATAAAATGAAAACTATTAATAGATATTCGACCATTTTTCTTCATACATTTGATTTGACTTGATCAAGGTTTCATTTACATTTTATAATTCCATCATCTGAAGGTTCAACTCTGTTAATTATAAATCCAGCTGTTAATTCAATACTAATTAGACATGATATTTATTTTTGGTTCTCAGTAATTCATCTTATAACCTAAATAATTGAATTATACAATTACATATAAATTTTCTATTCAACCCCTTCATTAGCCAATTTATTTGCAAGTAACTACATCCGTTTGATATTGAATTATTATATTTGTTAGGCCTTTGTTAAGTCGAGTTTTGGTATGTATTTTTCAGGTTCTTGCTTAAGATCTTTTGGTAATTGTGACTTTAATTGTCTCTTTACTTTCTGCGGCAACGTTGGAGAGAAAAGTGGAGAAAAGACTGCTGATTATTGCATATGCATCTTTTCATCTTATGAATCATCATCAAAAAATAATCTCTTTTACACTAGAAATTGAAATTAAATACTTACATTAGACTAAATTATTAATGAATTTTGATGGATCCTCATTTTAACTAACTAGGTTAAATTAATTATTATTAATACAAAATGTTTTTGTTTGATTTCTAGGGGTGAATCTTTGGGTTCTCATTTTTAGAATTTCATTCGATAAACTAAAATTTAATTGTGCTAAATCATTTTTTTATTCAATTAATTCTTCTATTTGTAATTTCTATTTCAATAGCATTGAATTCATCTATTAAATTACATTATTAAAATTCAATGTCAGTTGTTCTGGTTGAGCCAACTAAGGGGGAATAATTGTGATAACTACATGTTTTTCTAAATAAATTGTTCCCATCATTTCATTAGACATCTAGACCTATTCATTTAACTTCTTCTTTAATTCAGTGATTGTTCTGTTTAAACTATTAATCAATGAAGATTCTACTCTCTAGTTTGATTCATTGATTTGCTCAGAAATAAAGGCCTAGAAACGCATACAGTAATTAGTTTACTTTATCAAAAGCTAGGTTTCTTTCATCGCTTAACTATTCTATTTTTTTCATTAAGACCACATTTTCCTCTTAAACAAATTTTAGTAACACCAATGCAGCCTTACATTCTGAACTTTAGTCAAATTATTATGGATTATAGCAAATTTTTAATTATTCCTTATTCAATCGAATTAGATCTTTGGCATCTGATAGTTGTTGTTTCATTGAATCCAATTCATTCTGAAGGTACCTGCATTGAGTTTTCCATTTTTCAATTTCCATGTTTATTAATATAATTTAAATTTTTATATTTCAATTTTCATTAATAATAATTGTTTGTTTTTATTCTCATTATCTTAATATGATTTCATCTTAAAATTTCGAAAGCGACCCTTATACACTAATTATAACTAAAAGACAAATATTTGGTTCTGAAAATGAATCTAATTTGCATAAAATAAATAAGTAGCATTCTCTGATGAATTAAGAGGACAATTTAAGTCAAGAAAAGTAATAATTTTTTCAATATATGATTTAAGCAAACACTTGAATTTTATAGAGCTGATTTAATCAAGAAGTTCTATGATTCCAACTGTTAAAGTATTATCACCTGGAAATGAATAGATATTGTAAAATGAGGATGGGTTTTATTTGTAATCTAGTTTGCATCTCAATGAGGGGTAAGGTATTTGTGTTAATAGAGAGTATGAATCCTATTTGGCAGAAGGGAGGCTTGAAAATTATCAATTATGTTGCGAAGTTCATATATCAACTGAAAACTAAAGCAGACAAGCTAAAGATAAAGCTAATGAATCATGACATATTTATGAAATTAGGGGATAAAAGTGGTGATTTTTAAAATTTCAAGAAAGGCAATCAGAAATAAAAATTAAATAATTTAATACACCTAATTTTTAATAAGACGATTTTCTAAATTATTTAAATATTGAATTTAATCAGCCAAAGTTTAAATAAAATCACCATTATCTATCCTGAAAGTACCTTCAAGATAATTTGGGATTCCGTTGTGGTATGTTTCATAGTTATTAACATATTTTTTATCCCTATGAGTTTGAGCTTTGAATTGGACAAATCTAGTTAAATATCCACCTTATTATTTGAAACTATTCCCAGTTATATTTTTATTGTTGAAATACTTCTGAACTTTAACACTGCCTATTATAGTCAAGGAGTTATCCATACCAATAGGAGCCACATCTTTTTCCATTATTTATCTAATAATTTCATTTGGGATTTACTAATAGCAATACCATTTATTTTGGCCTAATTTAATATACCTTACATTCAATTTATCTTGCTATTGCGAATAGCGCGAGTAAGATCTATGATATAAAATGTGGAAGATCTATTAAATACCAAAGAAGAGGTTTAGGCTGTAATTGAATTAGGAAAACTAGTATACTTCTTAGTTTTAGTTGCCCACATGTGTAGTTGTGGATGGCATCTATTGGGTAGAATTGAGTATGAAGTTTATCAGGATGAAAATAGTTGGCTCATCTATTATGGCCATTACGATTAGTAGTGGTACGATAGGTACATAGTCTCATTGTATTGGAGTGTTATAACGACATTGACAGTGGGCTATGGAGATATTGTACCACAAACTACAATTGAAAGACTGTATGTAGTTATTGTGGCTATGGTCTTATGCGGAGTGTTTGGTTATATTATTTCCATGATTGGAGAAATCTTAAAGACTTTGGGAGAGAAGAAAGCTTTATTAAAAAAATCTATGAAAAAAGTCAACTAATACATTAAATAGAAGCAATTAAATTTATAATTATCCCTTAAAATTAGAAAGTATTTTGAGTTTAAACATCAAATCGATGAATAGTTGCAAGAGCAGGACGATTCTGTCTTAAATAAATTAAGTGGATCATTAAAATAGGAAGTACTGATTGATATCTACAAACCAATCCTTATGAAATCAAAATTTCTAAAGGAGAATACCCCAGAATATCTAATAAATAATTTATGCCAAAGGATTAAATAGGCAACTTTTGCTCCAGGATATGAAATAGTCAATGTGTATGATCCAGCTACAAAATTGATATTCATTTTAGATGGCCAAGTTAATAGTTACTTTATTTCTAAAGGACTAGATGCTTTGTAGAGGAATGAAAAGGAAAATAACTCTGGGATGATGCAACGAAATTATTAAAGAGGAGATATCATAGGAGAATTAGAATTTATAATCAATTCATCCTATCAATTTTACTTTAAGGCCCAAACGGTTTTATCTATTGTATATATTGAAAGAAATGATTTCTTATAAGTTATCTAAGAAAATGAAGAATGCAGATAAAAATTTCATCAATTAAGGGAAAAGTTAACCTATCAAAAAACGTATGGTAGAACTTGCGATGTTTGCAAATGGACTCATAGATATAAAGATTGTCCATTTGTATTCTATCAAACAAATATTTATAAAATAGCAAGAAATGCAAATGCAAGTTAAAATCATTAAAGACTTAAATTTGATAGACCGAGGGATTCTAGAAAAAAACAAAATACAAATGATCATCACAATATTTTAAATTAAAGTATTGATTTTATTATCAATAATGGATACTTAAATGAAGAGTAAATATATCTATAATTTATTTTAGTTAATTAAATGAATCCTATCTCATTAAACTAGGATTTGATATCTAGGAAGGTTTCTATGAAAAATCTATCTAATCTCAAGAGAGCTAGTCATAAGAATCTCATTAATAGGATAATCATTCTGTAGCCCAAAGGAAATGCTCATCTCAAATTGAAAAAGTGAGAGTAAGCTTAATGAATTAAAAACTAAAAGCAGGATTAGTCTAAAATCAAAATTTGACTAGAAATTAAAATTTCGATGATGATTCAAATGGAGCATTGCAGAATCCATAATTTTAACACTAACGTAAGACTGAAAATGAAATTCAAATTGAACATAAAGAACCTAAAGAACCTTCTAATTCTAACCCATTTTCCAACCATCGTAATCTAACCAATAATACAATCAAGCAGAATCACAATCTCTATTCTTAAGGAAATTTAAAATCTTCAGTTGCAAATCATATAGCAAGAACAGAAACTTCCATGGCCAAAAAGTCCCTTATAAGCGTATAAAAGCCCATTCATCATTCTGTGAAAATAAATAACAATAATACTAATATAGAGAATGATAATGATAGGAGCCAATTGCAAAATTAATTATAAACGAATGGAACCATTTATTTTATTCCAGAATTAGAGTTCGATAAAATGAAAAATTATGACTTCTATTTTCCACACTTTAATATTGTGAATGTTTTAGAATCCTTGAAAAAATATCGCTTTAATTAATTTAACGAAAACAAAAAGAAAAATATTAAGGAAAAATTAAAATCAATCAGATAAAACAAGACTATCAACAAGTGCTTTAATTCATCAATTAGAAATGTGGATGAAAGTACTTGACATTATTTCTCATTTAATTTGATTTATTATAATATTTCAGAAATCATTCAAAATAACCTGAATGTTCATTTCTAATAAAGTTACAGGGTATTTCCAATCAAATCTTTCAAGTACTTCTGGGTGGACAACTCCCAATCCTCCTATCGTTTAATCTTTATAAACAATCTGGGCTTATAATTAATGGAAGAATAAAGGATCTAATTTCATACTAAGATTTACCATTTGATTATTTCAAGTGATAATCCGTCTTTTTTACTCTAAGTTTTATCATTAATTAATCTAACAAACCATGTAAAATCTCTAATTCTGTTTTTTTACTACTTGAATGAATAGCAACTAAATTTCTTTAATTGTGTGCTCCCACTTATCCTTCTCCTTTTTAGAATCCATCCTTCTCTGATTTTAATCCTTTCACACAAACATCTGAAACCTCAAATAATTTTATTGGTAATTTGCTATCTGAATTGGCTTATAAAGTATGCAATATTCCAGGAATGAGAGTTGATCTCACAGATTAAAATTATGGAGTTTTAGAATTGTTGAGAGACACATAATTTTACACATTTGGTCTATTTAACATCTTAGTTTATTCATCGATTGACATTAACACAAAATTTAAACATTCTACAAAACCACATAAGGCCACTTCTTCTCTCACCATATCTGATAATTTATTTAATCTATATTCTGATCCAGTTGTTGCAGTCTCTGGGACTCTAAAGTCTATTTTATTGTAATCATAAGCAATTCCAATTTCTTCCGCAATATCACATTGTTAAAGGATATCACTTCTATAGAATGGCACTAAACAATCCAAAACAGTTTCATCCTTAGCTACAGCTTTTATGCCCATTATTGATAACAGCTCACATGCTTATTGTGTTGCTAATATTATTATAATTTGATGTACTTATATTTATTCCTAAGACTTTATTGATATATTAAATATTTGTTGTTAAGGTTCTTTCATCTACAACAGGTGTAATAACTTGCTTCTTGCTTAATTCATAGACAATATTGACTTTTTCAATATTTAGTTTTTGATTGTATATAGCGAATCCGCTAATCAAACAATTTAAAGTGTGTAAAGCTCTTTATTCATCTATTGCTGTAACTTCAATCAAAATATTTTTGGTTTCTGCTGACATTTTTGAATGCTCTCCATTAATAATTGGTGGCAATGAGCAAACTCTCTTTTTGTTATCGTAAATAACCGGATAAACAGGAGAATTCTCAATTATCTTCAAATAACCCTTTAGGTATTAATCTTCCTAATATTCATAAGGAATATCATTACTCTTAATTTGCTAAATAAATCAATGCAATTCATAGATTCCGTTTATTTTAGTGCTTAGAATACAATATCTTAAGGTGGTTATGCATCATAAAAGAAAGGTCCTTCTATCTTATCTAAATCATGAGTTCCAATGGAAACTAAAGTTCTTTTTCTAGCATAATTTTGATGAATTTTATCTTGAAATGATAAAAAGGATTTAAAACTATCTTCTGTTAGAGTAACATCTCTCAATATTGCTCCCACAACAAATGGTCTAATCTATTGTGTCTATAAAGAAATGTTTATATAATTTACTGCAGCTTTCACATAAATTGTTTCTTTTGCAGGAGTAAAATTATAGACTCTTTATTTTTCCAATCCCTAATATACTCTTAATGCATGCACTAAATTTTCTATGCATAATAAGTCAGGTCTATTGGCTGCAATTTCAAAATATAATAGATCTGGTTCTTCATCTCTTTCTTCAGCTTCTATTCCGAATCTGAAAACTAACTCTTCCAATTCTTCTTCATTTAATTCTTTTCCCAAAAGCTTAAAGAAAAGTTTTTTGTCAGATGATATTTTAGGCATAATTAAAATTTTATATATTTTATGGCATATCGATCGCAAAATTCAAATACTATTTCACAGTCAATCAATTGAATTATTCTTTATTCTGCTTGTTATGACACTAAATTTATTCAACTTTAATTTCAATAGTTTGAGCTATTAAATAAAATTTCTTAAATCATCAATGACCCTCCTATTGTTCTTTTTATCTACAGCATTAGTCTCTATTTCATGTAAACAGAATTATATTATCAATAACCAAGCAAATATTATATCAAGTTGAAGATTAGCATTTAATCCAAATAAGTAACATATCCAAAAAATTGAAATACTAATACTATTTTTATAATAAAATTATTGAAACATCTTATTGGGCAGATTTACAAAGGTATTGATTAAATATAAAAATGTCTAATTCTATATGTTATTTCACCTTAAAGCATGGATACATATTTAAAGTTATAATTAAATACATAATTTAAATTTTTAATGACATTAAATCAACAATTGATAATATAAAACTAAAATTGATAATAAATAATATGAATCTTTCAATGATATTGACTTTTTTGTTGATTTTAGAATCTTAAATCATAGTTTTTGCTTTTGATAAGTTGCTAAGAGCTTGTACGTCTATGATCTGGAAATTCATTAATTTAAAAAGGAGCATTCTACACTTCCATAGGTTTTGGTTTTTAAGAATTATGTACTCCAATATTGTTTTATTATAAGTTCTAAAACCCTCCATGAATCGAATAAGGTCCACCCATCCCTGTATAAATTTGGCTATTTTCTGTTAATTCGTTCTGATTGCTCTGATTATTTGGTACTTCTTAGTTCCATGAATATTATTATTTTAAGGTTTATTTAAACTGAAGATTTTGGATTTCAGCCTCTAAACTCCTGATTCTAGATTCCATCTAAAATAATTGCTCCTAAAAGTTATCAAAACTAATATACTTTTTCTCTTGCCAAATCAGTTTCTAATTAATTATTTTTTTCTTAAAGCATACTATTATGTAATTGCAAGTTTTAAACTTCTCTCTCTTTGACATTATTTTCAGAATCATATTTCATCTATAATGCATCAAATTCCCTTTATTTCAAATCATTTTAATTTTATGTCCTGTGCAATTCTTCCATTAAATTTTTCACCTCTTAATTTAATTGCTGCTTTTCTTGTTCTAATCTACCTTGATTTTATACGGCAATATTATTTTACTCTTATTATTATTATAAATCTAAAATTATAACTTGTAGACTTTTACCTCTCTCCAATTAATTACATTTCTTTTCATACAGTAACAGATCATCATGCATTTCTTTCATTTTTTATAATGTTATTGCTCTCTCATTTCTGAATTAGACTTCGTTTTCTTGAGTACCTTTTAATTGGCTTTGCATATGCACATATTCATTTTCTAATTGGAGTAATGCAACTTCTCTTTTCTTTATTTCTTATTCCAATGATAATCCATAGTTTTTCCATCTATCAAGAGTTCCTTTTAAATCTGCAGATTATATTTGTGATTTAGATAAACTATCTTCAATCGATCTTTCGAGCTGATAACATTTATTTTGTAACATTTAGTTTTATGTGGTTAATTGGTTAACTTATTCTTTCATCTTCCAAATATCCTATTCTTATGATTAACTTTTGAGAGCTAACTTTTGATACTCATTCTTTCCTGTCTATATAGTCATTACATACTGGTCAATCTGCCTTTATTCTAAAATTTATATATAAAAATACAATCTGAAATTTATTATTGCATCTGTCTTAACTTATTTTCATTCTGTAAATTTAGATTCTATGCATTTAATAGCTCCTTTTCTTTTTATTGAAGCTAGAGGATTTAATTTTTTAATTGATCATTCTAAAAATTTAGATTCTAGATATTTTTCTATAGATTATTTATCGAATCTTTGGATCCCTAATTTAGCTGATTGATTTTTTAAATTAACACTTAATTTTATTCTTATTGATTTGTAAATTCTTTATTGATCATATCTAATGCTTATTTCATCTTTCGATTATCGTTTAAGAGCGAATCATTTTTTTAACTTTGTGCATCGTTATTTTATGTTAACTCTTTAAGCTAGGCTTTGAATTTCTCAATAGTTTCTTTTTGCGTCTAAATCTCGCCGTCTTAAAAAGAATTTTATCTTTTTTGTTCTTAGACCTGTTTGTTAGCAATAGCAAGTTGCTATTCTAAATCAGATATCTAATTTTCAAGTCCTTTGTTTAGTTCCACTTGCTTTTTTAATTTTTATAAATCTAAAAGCTGATATTGATCATCTTGAATTGTATTCATTAATCTCTTATTTTCATTTTTTAACTGTAACATTTGATCCCTAGAATATTTATATATATCATACTGTAAACCTTAAATTTCTGCATTATTACTCTTATCCCTGTTACTTAATTGAAGACTATTATACTCAGATTTTATACTTATCGTTTTTCAACTTATAGTTATCTTACTCCAAGGTTCTCCACTAATATCTAATTACTGTTTGTAGCATACCTCAATGTTTCATTCTCTTTCATTAATCTTTGAATCTATTCTTCGTTTTCTTATTCTTTCATGGTTTATTATCCCAATACAGGGTAATTGAATTGTGGATATTGTTAAACTTAAGGAATATTTTAAGAATAACCATAACTAGAATGGTATAAATTTCTTACTTATTTGTTTGCGAAGATCTTCTTGGAACAAACCTAAAGTATTATTATTAATGGAATACTCATTATTATCGATGTTTTTAACATTTTATCCATTTTATAAATTAGAAATTCCTAATTATCGATTAGAACTTGGTTTGCTCCTTTCTTGATTGGAAATTTGAGCTTAAGAATTTGTTTCGAATTAGCTCATCTAGTACTAATAAAAATATTTTTTATAAACAAAATTACTTTAAGAATACTTTATGATTTTATATAATTTCATAGTATTAGTCTTAATTATACTAAAGAAATGGCTCTTATTAATTAAAAACATCTACTGCAATAATATAATAAATTTAAATTAAGTATAGTTCATTATTCTTAAGATTAACAAAAATATTGACATTACAAAAACTTAATACAAAATGACATTCGCTGAAAACTTACAGTTATTAAGTAAAAGCAATTCATGAAAATAATAATCTCAAATCTTTATTCTTATCTTTAAAATCGTTTATACAACTAGAACACAACTAAGAACCTTGATGCATTTCTATTTTGTTGTTATGAATAAATATATAAATTCAAAATACAGATTAAAAAAATATTTTATTTTAAGATTAGAGCTATTGTTCAATTGAAAGTCTTCTAGAGTTTATATTTAATTTGCTTTATAAAAAATTGCTTGAAAAATTTGATCTACTCTATAATAAATTATTATTTTTAGTGTTATTAATTTTAAGTTTTAGCACTTCAATAAATTGATTTAAATCTTAAGGTGAATTATTCCCTAAAAGTTAGGGTTTACTTGATGATGTTTTTAATTACAATACTCGATCAATCTCTTTAAATGGTGAGGGAGATGCTTTGAATTTCTTTTTAGAACTCAACTCTTTATAATTTGAAAAATTTAACTTTTTCTAATATCTATTCGATTAAATCGAATTGTCGTGATCAAAAAACTCAAGTATTAAACTGTTCAAATCTTATAGCTTATTAGCAATTTCTTAAAACAAATTATATTTTTATTTTAAAGGTGATTATATAATTTGACAGTTAGAAAAAGAATTGAGAAGCTCCTTATTTTTTTAAATTTCTTACAACTGCAACCTCAATTCATATTCTTGTTCTTATAAATAGTGATATCCTTTGTCCCCAACTTTTTTCATAGTCTCCTTAATAGATTACATTAATTGTTCTTAGTAAAATTGTAAATTCTTCTGGAATTGCTTATAGTCATCTCTCAAATTCAACAATCTCTTAATGAGGGTTTATTCCTTAAATGATAAATAATCGATTTGTTCTTTTTAATCAAAATGATCTGCATAATTCAATTATTATTTTTAGGGCGAGATAAATGTTGGTGATTAAGCTTTATGTATTTTTGTTTCTACTTGTCTAAGTAGTTCTTAAGAGTCAATAGATAATCTTGATTCATCTTTCGATTTCGAAAACTCAAAATATTTATCCATACTGTATTTGTATAATAAAATAATGAAAAAGTAGTTTATAAAATATACATACTCAAAATTCTACAAAATAGCAAACGCTAGCTGAATGTAAATTTAAGAGTATTATAATTTCTTATTAATACTTACACTCGATTTCATTTTCATTTAATGAATAAGAACTTTATTCTCATTATTAAATACTCTTAAGCTTTATTTCAAGATAATTATAACATGTTAAGCTCATATTCATAAACAGTTTTACTACCAAATAAAAAATAAAAACATTCCTAAAAATAGATGGATTTGTGAACACATTAATATTCTATTTTGATGCATGCAAATATCGATTATAAGGACCATAAAAATTAATAATTGATGATATAATATATAGCTTGAAAGGAGATTCTAAATTCTGAAATTCTGAATTAAGTATTCAAATATATAAATAATGATGATGAACTATCAGAGATGATTTATCCTCTAAGAATTTCTAATATTGTTATTCTTTGAAAACTTTATATATATCGGCTTGAGTGATGTACTTATGAATTAAATTCAAAAAAATATAATAAATTAATGGGACAATTATGTATTGAGAAACCAAAACAAAAACACTCTGAAGATAATTTACATGAACTTAATCCATAAACTTAAAAGCATCCATAAACATAAGAATCCTCTCTTTAAAATCCTAATTTGACAGAATAAGAAGTAAAAGAAAAAACTCAAGTTAAATTACTCGATTCTGTAAACACTCATTAAAACTAATCCATTCATGATGTTTATAAATTACTCTCTCCTCCATTAGGGAGTGGTAAAGCTAATATTAATTTCAGGGTCGTATGCTGAAGTGCGTAAAGGTGTACACAAGGTTTTAGGTATTACTAGAGCAATAAAAATCATATCCAAATCAGAGGCCACTAATGAAGAGGTATCTAGAGTCTTACATGAAGCAGAAATACTTAAACAGTTGGTATGAAATATGTAATTTAGGATCACCCTAATATAGTAAAAATTATAGAGATATACTAAAATCCTCAATAAATTTTCATTGTAACTGAATTATGCACTGGAGGCGAGTTATTTGATGCTATAGTGGAATCTTAACAATTCTCAGAGAAAGATGCAGCTAAGTTAATGAAATAGGTATTGTAAGGATTAAACTACTGCCATCAACATAAAATAGTGCATAGAGATATCAAACCTGAAAATATCGTCTTCGAAAGCAAGGATAAAAAAGGAACAATTAAAATCATAGACTTTGGAACCTCAAGGGTATTTGATCCTCATTAAAAGATGAATTAAAAGATAGGAACTGTAAATCTTTATATTTTTCATTAGCCTTATTATATAGCACCAGAAGTCTTAAAAAAAAAATATGATGAAAAATGTGACATTTGGTCTTGTGGAGTCTTAACCTATATTTTATTATGCGGTTATCCACCATTTAATGGGAAATCGGAGGCAAAGATTTTAGAGAAGGTAGAATAAGGAAAATATGATTTTAATTCAGAGGAATGGGATATCATCACAGAAGAAGCAAAAGATTTTATTTCGAAATTGATGGAAAAAGATCCTTTCAAAAGGTACAATGCAGAATAAGCACTCAAACATCCATGGATTACATAATAAAGTGAGGATGTCTAAAATGAATTGCCATAAATTGACAGGGCTTTAAAGAACATGAAAACTTTTAAAGTAAAACATCCGTATATACTATTAGTCCACTAAATAACTCCAATCTGCCATTTATTAATACATTGTGAATTAATTCTCAACCTAGGAGGATAAATCAGAACTTTTGAAAACTTTTAAAGCTTTGGATACAAATAATGATGGTTAATTAAGTAGACAAGAACTTTTAATTGGGTTAAGGAAGATTATGAATGAAAATGAAGCAATGGAGGAAGTTGAGAGAATCATGAGGGATATTGATTAAAATAATTCAGGAACTATAGATTATTCTGAATTTGTTGCTGCTTCTATAAACAGATCAAAATTATTATCTCAAGATCGACTTGCTAAAACATTTAAGGCAATTGATAAAGTTTATATATTAAATTATTTTTAGGATGGCAATGGTTCAATAAGTATAGATGAATTAAAATTAATATTTGGTAATGGATTAGTTCCAGATTAGATTTGGAAATAAATCATCCATGAAGTAAATGATAAAGAGGAGATAACTTTTTAAGATTTTTCAGAATTAATGCTAAATTTGGCATTTTGAATATTTGTGCTGTTATCATTAGTATTATAATAAAAATAATTAAATTTTAAATTAGAAGAAATTGCGAAATTTCAGATGAATAATTAGATATATGAATCAAATCATTAACTCAAATCAGAATCACCAGCAGCAACTCTCATAGCAATGTATTCTTTTAAGTCTCTCATGTTGGAGTTCAAATGTCCGATCAAGTCAGAAACAGTTTATCTGTCTCCATCTCTTGCGGTTCTTCTTTATTAGTATTCATAAGCAGCTTATTAGCATTCTGCTCTTCTGTCATCTCTTTATTAGGTCTTGGCTTCAAGTCTGGCAGCATTGTCATCTTATGAGCTGTGAGTGGCAGCAAGTTGATCGGCCAATGATTAGATTTCAGCTTCCAAATTAGCAATTGCAGAGTTAAGCTTGTTCATATCTCTGTTCAAGAGGGTATTGTATGCTTCATAAGCTTATCTTCTAGCATCTTCAGTCTTTCTAGCTAAATCGAAGGCTTAGTTCAATTAGTTCTATAAGTCATCGATCAATTGGATGATTCTTCCTGTTAATTCTTAATTGGCATATTATTAAGATTTGGATGCTAAAGTAGCCATAAGTTTGATGGCTTTTCCGAAAGTTCTAATGTGTTTCATTTATCCAGCTTTGTGAGCAGCAGCATTTAAATGGGTAGCAACTTAAGCAAAGACTTATGGGGTATAGTGAACAGCTTCACTTGCTCCCTTTTATAAGAAAGCTGGGGCTTATAAATTGTCAGTGAAGAGTCTTCTAGCTTCAGCAAGAACACCTGAGACGAATGTGAATTCTTCTCTTTAAGCTTCGAAATCGTCGTTTTATTCTTATCTCTTGGCTTAGGCTTCATCGATAACTTATTGGAGGAGAGCCTTTTCAGCTAATTTGGCAACTCTTTATCCGACCTTTTAGTCATGGACTGGTTGGAGTTCATCGATTTTGGCTTATAATTCTGTGTCTCTTTATTCAAGATTGGCGATTTCTTAGTTAAGACCAGCAAGATCAGCATCGCAAACACCTTAGAAGGCTTTATTTTCAGCATCATCCTCTCTTTAATCATTTTGATATCTCTCTTCCAAATCGTAAAGGGTTGAGAAAATTCTTTCTAATGGTTCGCCTGTTTGCATTTGGATAGCGATTGTTTTCAACAATGTCTTTCCGAGTTTGGATTGTTCGAGTTTCTCGAAAGCGGCTAAATTAGTAGCGAAGGCTGTTGCAACCAAAACTAACAAAACAATGGATTTCATTTAATTATACTTTTCTTTTTCTTTAACTTAGTGAATTTATACCACATATTAAAGGAAAAACGAATTTTTTCCTTTAAACTAACGTATTTAATAATTAAGAAATTAATAATTCCTTTGTTGAAGGGTTAATTAATGAAATAATATATTATATAATATTTAATGTAACTATACTAGGCAACTTTCCTCTAGTTGCATCATAGCAACCTCAAAATACTGTATCCTCTCTTAAATAACCTATTCTAAAAGGATTTTCATTAATTTGTTATTACTTTTCCTTATTAACACTTAATGTCTAATATAATCTGCTGATTCTATTGGAACTAATATGTATGGGCATAGACATATAGAAATTGCCTTAATAAATGAGAAAAATAGAAATAATGCAATTATATTATGAAGTATTACAATTTTTCATTCATTTATTAATTTATAAAAGTTTTAAACTAAAAAATTAAATAGCGCCGGTTAAAGTGCGCGTAAAATAATTATTATTAAATTTCATCAAAACATGAGTTAATGTCCTATAGAGCATCATGATTAGTAAAAAATCAAATATATATGTATTGATCCAAAATGTACCCACGAATAAAAATTAGGTATAAACTAATGATTTGATTTATATTAGGCTGTGCTGATTGTTTTTTAGAAAATCATATTTCATAAAATCCATAGAGTCATAGTCATACAAGAGTACAAATATCAAAATTTGAGGAGGACTTGAATTCAAAAATATTAAATGTAAGAAATCTTCAAATAGAACCAATCACCAATGATTCTAGTTAATTTGATGAAGACTTTAATATTTGCTTAAATTAGGTAGCATCAAAGCTCAATAATTTTAAAGATGAGTTAAAGAAAGAAATGAATAATGATGTATTGAGTTTTGATGATCATGTTAATGAATTCAAAAACACAATTCAAAATTAAATAGATCCAATACTTCCATATCAGAATTCGACTGTTTTTACTTGTACTTCAGAAGAATTGTCAAAAGCTATTACTTTTTACTAGGATTCAGATTAATTATCTTAAGTCCTCTAAAAATAAATTGATTAAATTGAAAACCATAGAGAAAAAGTCTAACAAAACAAATAAAAAATTACATCTAAATTATAAAATGTAGTTGATTAAATGTTAAGATAATTGGATGAATATTAAGTGAAGAATTCTAATGGTGAATTTTAGGGAACTCCAGAAAAAGCCAATGTATCTTAGACAGCTATTTTCTTAAGTGCAAGTAGTACTACGTAATCCCCACCTATAAAAACAATAATAGATGCTGCTAGATCACGAAAAACTATTTTTCCCCAAACCTAATAATTGCAATAGTAATAAAAAAAAGGAATACGAAATAAAAATTGAAATTATATTAATGATATTTTTATTAAATATTTTGGTCTTTTCGATATTCTAGTGTTTTTAACTATTTTACAATGAAATCATTTAGATGTTAATTTTACCTATCTATTTTTCAAAGTCATTTTGCTGATTGTCTTGAAGAAAGTAATAGGCTAAGATTTTAAGCATATTCAATTTCTCTTTAACTTAATTACTTTATCATTTCATAACATTATAGAATTATTGAAATATAAGTAATTTTAATTGATATCATATTCAACAAAAACAGTAAATTTCCTAATTTATTGTATATAAATCAATTTTAATATCTGACTAGTGCTTATCTTGATTGAGCTAAGCCTTATTTTACTCGATTCTGATCTCAATGGTTTCTGTCAAATCATTTAATTTAATATGTTGAAAATGAAGTAACTGACTTTATCAATAAAATTCCTCAATAAATTGTGAAAAGGATATATAGAGAAAAAAGCTTCAAAAATTATTCTATTAAATTTTATTAATCAAATTCAATCCAGTAGATCAAATAAGATATCAGTATCTTATTTAACAAACGATTAGAATAGGTAAGGTGATAATAACGAAAGTTAAGTAAACAAATGCAAAATATATGTATGAAATAATTGATGTCCATTTAGTAATTTTAGAGAAGAGTTTCAAATATCAAAATAAATTAATTGTTTAAAAATGCTTTTATTTTCATTTTTATAAACTCAAACTCTACCATAATACATCAAGAATAAATACTTATTATATAATTTTAACTATCATAGAAATCTAACCATTAATTATTCTAGTATTCCATATGTGAGACCCTCTGAAGATTTATCAATCATTAATTCTTTGTGTGCGTATCTAACAAAACCTCTATAATCCTTTAAGTATTCGATTGCCTTTTGAAGCAAGAGGTAATAATTGCTGAGTCCTTATAAAATATATCCTGGCAATTAAATCTAAATTTAACTATTTATATACTTCCTCTGTTATTGGAGAATCTAGATTAATATTTTAGAAGTTTTGTTGTCGAAAGTAATTTTTTAGTTCACTCAAGGTTTATTTGATATACTATTATGTAATTCGATAAAATGTTTCTGTCTCTGTGAAATCTTGATTTAAAAGACAAACAAAAGTCGTATCCTTTTACAATTCTTGAATATGATTATAGAAATACCTGATTTAGAGTTGCATAGTTTTAGCAACTTATCAAAATACTTTGTATATTTTTCATTATATTCGGTAATAGCTTAAGTAAATTTTTAATAAGAATCTGTTTTTTTATAAGAAATAAAGTCTTCTAATTATAAATTTGGTTAGTTATTTTCTTTATCAGTAATTTAATTTAGTTTTGCAATCTTAATTGCAATATTTTTTCCCATTAGAAATAGCAATTTATCTTTTAATTCAGGGCTAATTACTTTACATTAGAGTAGACTTGAAGAGAACTTATAGAGAAACCTACAAAAATTTACTTGAGTAAACAAAATATCGTTATTAACTTTACATTCCATTGTTATTCCTATTGGTTTAATATCTTCAGCAGGTTAAGTCTTTTATTTAATATAATGTTTTTGAACTTATTATTAACTAGTAGATCTTTGCACATTCTATTATTGTGGTTATAATGGTTATCTATTGTTATCAACTTATGTAGGTTTCTGAGGTTATTAATTTTATTATTAATGGTAGTTTTCTTTGTTATCTCTATATCTGATCTCTTACTTACCCCCTTGACTAAGTGATCTTTTAACCCTCTGTTATTATTATTATTCATTTGGAGGAGGAGTAATTGCTTATCTTTGTTATTACTAATGAGGGTGTTATGGTTATTAAGGTTAAGAAGGAGTGATCGATTACCTTAGCAACTAATGGTTCGCCATATCGCGCACTCTCATTCTTCTGCCATCATCAACAGTTAAACATTATCTGATAAAATCTTTAGTAGCAGAAGAAATTTAAGGGTGAGATGGTAAATGAAGAGGCTGATTCATTATATTAGAAATCAACGCAGCTTCTGATTAACCATTAAAAGGAGTTCTTCCAAAAAGCATTTCATAAAATACTACTCCAATTGCCCATACATCTCCTTATTCGGTATGTCCCTACTACCTCAAAGCTTATGGACTCATATAAAGAGGAGTTCCAACATTGAAATTTCTGCCTTATACTCTAGCCTCATGTACAGGAACAGCAAAACCGAAATCAGCCAACTTTGGAATTGAGTGATCAATTAAGATGTTGGCAGGTTTGATATCTCTGTGAATAAAACCTTTTTTATTCATTTCTACCATAGCTGAAACAACGCATTATAATATTCTTGTAGCTTCTTATTCATCTAATCTTCCTTTTTTACGAATATAATTATTGAGATCTCCAGAGTCACAATACTCTGTGATTATATAAGTGTTATTTTAGGTTTGAAAGACATCATGCAATTTCATTATATTTTTGCTATTACATGAACGAAGAGCATTGATTTCATTTTTTAATAATTAAGAGTGAATTGATTGTTTGATCATTTTCATATCAATCACCTTTACAGCCACTGGTTCTTGGGAAACATCGTCCTTTCCCTTATAAACTTTGCTGCTAAATCCTCTTCCGATTTCCTCATTTAGTAAATAGCTGTAATGATCAATTTGTTTCCTTGTTATGTTTTATCTTCTATACATGTTAAAATTAACGATATTATTAAAAATTAAAACACTCTTTAAACTGTTAACGATATTTAAATTTTTGAAAATCATATTAATCAGATGCCTTTGTTGTGAGTTGATGACACATAATACGATTTTGGTTTAGATTTTAGGAAGAATATATAAAAGCAATAAAATGCTAAATATGATATTTTAATTGATTATAAGCAAAAATAAGGAAGATATATATTTTGAAATTTATTTTAATGTATTATCCTTAAGGCAGACCTTAATATTTTCCTCGTTCAGTGTACCAACCTTAACACCTGCCATACCGACCTTAATACTACCCTTATATGCCTCAATACTTCCCACAATAGTCAATCCATGCCTCCTATAATGGATTTCAAATTCCAAAAGCTAATGTTCCACCTGTCCATCCTATGGCTAGCCAAGCAATTCAATCTCCAAACAAAAATTTTCAGAGTCCAACAAGAGGATTTGCCTCCCCCTCAAGAAATCATCTTTTGCAATCTTAATAATAACAGCCATAAAATAAACCAACTTAAAAATAACAATTGTAATCACCTACAAGACCTGGGTATTTAACTTACGAATAAGTGATGGAGAGAATTCAAAAAGCCAACACTTAATAGTAATCATTTTAGCCTTAGCAATGTAATGAATCATACAATTTTAGAATCTGACCCTTAGCCTTAAGCATAATAGAAACTGCAAAACGGCCAAATTCCTAAATCATAACAATAACAACCACAATAACATTAAAATCAATAGTAATAGCCAATTCAACAGTAGACATAACAAAATAAAACTCCAAACAAACAAATATCTGAAAAAATAGAAGTTTAACACAAGCAACCAACATCACCAAAAGATGCCGAATATGAGGCTGGAGATGGAGAACTAGAGGGTATCATCCTTATTTTAATTTTAAGAGTTGGCTTTACAATATGAAGATGGTTATATTTATAGAGGACAAGGTTTTCCTCCTTAAACCAGAAGTGGTTTCGGAATTTTAACTGATAGCGAAGGTCAAGAAGTATATGCTGGTTATTGGAAGGACAATTTTTATGAGGGTGATGGAAAATTACGCAATTTGTAGGTTGAATTAATTAATGGACCTTATGATTACACAAATATGACAAATATTGGGAACGGCTGGGAATTTTATGAAGGTATTACTCACTAATATTGAAATAGGTAAGTTTGAGGGTGGTAAAATGCATGGTGAAGGCACTTTAGTGTTATCAAACTAAGAAAAATATATTGGTTAATTTGATGATGGGATGATACATGGGGAAGGCGAATTTATAACAAATAATGATAATGCAGTGAAAGCACAATGGAATTAAGGAATTTTAGAATAGTATATTGAATGATTTATTAATTTTTCTTCATTCAAATCCAGGCAAGTTTTCTCCACTTAAAATATGAGCATGTAAATGAAACACTGTTTATCCTCCTTTCTATCCGTCATTTATTATCACTCTATATCCTTCTAATTGTAGTTATTTTCCTACTCTATTCACTGCGTACATCAAATTTCCTAATAGATCAATATGCTACTCAGAGGCATTTGATAATCTATCTAAATGCTCCTTAGGTATTACTAAAACATGTACTTTTGCCTTAGGATTTATATCCTCAAAGGCTAAACACTTAATTATCAAACTTAACTTACATGTTTATCTTCATATATAATTTTTGCAGGTATCTGCCTTTTTATTATTTTTTCAAAAACTGTCGAGAATGAGTAATAAATGGATCTCATTAAATTTGATTTGATTTTATATATCAATTAATATTTACTAATCCAATTCAGATAACAAACATTATATTAATAACAATAAAATAATTGATAATTTGGAACAACAGTAAATATTTATTAACTTAAAATCAGCTGCTTTATGTTTTGATAATAAATTAAAATTGCCATTCTTTGAATATATATTTAATTCTTATTGAAATATTCATTTCTTATTGTAATTACAAAAGTCAATCCATTATATAATAGTGTATATAATACTATTTTGGAAATTATGATAATAAAGACGACTTAAGGCTTACATAAAATATTCATAAAATGGGATTTATTGTCATTATATGTCCAAATATTTTCATTAAAACAATTAATATGTATTTTAATCTCATATAATGCATACTCTGAGATACTGAGTCTTGTTGTGAATTTATGATTTAATTTATACATGAAGAATAGAACTGAAATATAATGATAATTTCAAGTAGGAAGAGAACTCAGTTGATGATATATTAGACCTTGGGTAAAAAAGAGAGATTAATGCTAGATATAATGTATATTTGAAAATACTCTGTTTTTTAATAATTAAAAATAAATTTATTAAGATTTAATGAACAATCCTCGTCCATCATAACTCCCAGCTCAGAAGGCAACACCATCATAATTACCACCTCCTACTTAATAATAGGTTCCAGAAACATATTAGGCATAACCAAATTGGGTTCCTGCAAGCTCATAAATTCAGCCAGGAGTTTTTGGCTAACCACTTCCACTTTAACAAACAGGATTAATTTAAAATCCACAATATTTGTAGTAACCTGTTTATGCTTAATAACAATTGATATAATCAAGTGCGCCAGTCGTCACATAAGGAAATGTAATTATTAATAATAATCAAATAGGCAATCAAGGGTGAATCTCGCATTGAATATATTCCTTATACAAAAGAAGTGACAGAATATGTGACATAAGAGGTAGTCGAATATGTGCCAAGAGAGAGAAAAATTACTGACTATTATGCTGTGGAATATGTGACTGAACACATTCCTTAAGTAATCTAAGAAAAATACATTGGTAATTGATTCTGTTTATGATTTATGCAGAGTACGTACCAGTAGAAACAATAAAAGAGAGAACTGAGTACCAAGCAGTGACAAAATAAAGTGTGGTATAAGCACCAATTGATTATTAATAAATCCAGAAAACTCAATAATATCAAGGTAAATAAATTTTATTTATATTACTTTTTGTAGCTGCCCCAATTTAATACGCCTAAACCTATACACAACCAATTCAATATGCTTAAACTTCCTCCTAATTTGTACCAACTACTTAGAGTCAATATGTGACAGCCCCAGTAACAAACTCTTAATTTGTTTCTTAACCTTATTCAACAACTACATATGGAGCTCCCATTACAACTTATGGTTAGTTGACTTAGAATTCAGCATATTTACCAGCAGCAACATATGCCCAACCTGGAATTGGATAGGTGACAACAACTACGCAGTAGTATTCAACTGGATGGCAATAAGTATACCCAACATCAACAGGAAATGTTTAGCCTTAATTGCAATAGTATTAAGTAGGTCAACTGCAAACATCAGCATAGAATCCTAAGTACGCATGATGATATTATAAATAAGGAATTATTCATTTGTTATAATAATTATAATTAAAGGTTATATTTTGTGTGATACAAACTAATTTGCTAAGGATGATGAGTAAAATAAGATAATAGACTCATTCGCTTAAATACATTAATATGAATCACCTTTCCCTAGCAAAACGACTCTATCATTATCTCTATCCTAAACAGAATAATATTTGCTAAGAAAAGTATCACCAAAAATCCAAGCTGACCCTTATGGTGATGGAATATCTTAAGGCTTGAATGAACCAAAACATTAGCAATTAGTTTCTACAAAACTATCTGCATTTGTGAAAGTATTATAAGAACCTAAATTAATTTCATATTATACTTTAAATCAATTTTCATAACAGAATCATTGGCATCCAAATCATAATTGATACCATCTAAAACGAATGTTAATTTTGGTAAATCTTTAAGGTTGCTGCAATTTCATCAATATTTAAGGAATCTATATTGAGATAGAATAAATCCAGTAAATCATATAAAGCTACTGATGGACCAGTTAATAATGAAGTACCAGTAACTGCAACTCCTTTGCATCCATGTTTGCAAAGACCTAAATTTTTTCCATAGAACAGAATGTTATCTGCATTTCTGTATAACAATTTCTAATGCATTATGTTATCAAATAATGGGTTGAAATTGTAAGCAGTAAATTATGGATATGCTAATCCAACAATTCCATCAAAACCTGATTCTGCAAAAATATCACTAATTTTTTCTAACGATTTCTGCACATTCTTATTCTGCGATAGAAACTCTTCCAACATAAACAGTGTGAGCATTAATCTCCATTTAAGAAAAATTTTACTTCTCCCATCAATTCGTAAAATCCAAGTTCAAGTTCAACATCCAAATCGTAACCTAAGTTTTCATATGTAGAACTCTTTGAACCATCATATTATTGTGATTTTGCATCTATAATCGTTGCATTTAGCGAGTCAACCAAATTTTCGCAGATCCAGAGTCAAAAATAACCAAAATTACTACTTAGTCATACTTTAAATTTGTTTTTTTAACCACCTAATCCAATCTCTCCAGTAGATTAAGTATTTTTAGCCTCGTACAATTTTATTGATTATTTTGTCTATCCATTTCCAAATCTGCTTCATCTAACAAATCAGGACTTTTTTTCTGTATTTTTGGCTTGATGTGATAACTTCATATAATGATTTTCTGGCCTATGATTGGTTGTTGTTCTTCTAAGAAAGACCACTACTGCCAAATGGCAAGAGGTTGGTCAAGCCTAATACTAATTTCATTTATTAATGAATTACGAAAACATAAATGATATTTTTTCAAACCCACCTAAATTAACCAAATGAAATTATTTTGTTAATTTCCGTCTTCTGTATTTAATCTCTTTAAAAGCCTGTATCCTAAGGCCCATTTATTGTCTAGGTTAATTTTTTTAAATAGAATTGATTCTTCTAACCTTTAATCTTGCTATTATTATTACTACTAATTAGAAAATTATGCTTAAAATATCTTTATAGTAAAATAAAATTATCTGCAAAATTTCTCCTAATAAAAAATGGAATGAGCCAAAATTATATGAAAAATTCTAAAATCTTTATTTTAAAAACTACCCCCAATTCAAAACCATATAAAAAAAATGTAACCAACTCTCTAGATCATTTTCTGATCACTGAATTCAAACTTTAAACATTATCGATAAGAATCCTAAATGTGGAAACAAACCATAATAAGAAATGAAATTCTAACTTATTTTAAGAGAATAAAAAAATTGCACTGTACGAGACTCGAACTCGTGTCACAAGGATGGCAACCTTGTATACTACCCTTATACTAACAGTGCTTGATGAAAAATCACAATTAGTACTATTGATATACTGTAAGGGTAGAAAATAGATATAGTTGAAAATTGTGAAGTTAATAATATGAGAAAATAAAAAGGCATTTTCATTTTTATGCATGATTTATGAATCAGCGGGTCCAATATAAAATGGTTCTTAGTCATCTTCACAGTTGCTTTCCATAAATTTTATGAACCTTCCCATTATTATGTGCCTGGAATGAAATCAGTATAGTAAGTGAGTGCTTACGATATCTCTAAACATTTTTGGCCAATGGCAAACTTAGCTATAAATAAGCGAATTTGGAGGACTGCATAATAACTAGATAAATATATTTTCATTCAAAAAATTACACTCTCTTATAGAGATTATCAAAATTCATCCTGTAGAATCTAAAACAAACAAATTAATCGGAAATTTCATTATACATCTTATTCACCTTAAATAGCTAGTTGAAAAAATATACTAATAATGCTCAACTTATTTAAATATGATGCACATGGTTTAGTTTAATATTTTGAATCTAATAATTCTATCAAGCTTCTCACATCTTACACTCGAGTAGCCTTATTTGAAACGATTAGTTCAAGGATTTATTTTACAATATTCTTTCATTTTTTCTAATCGACTGCAATTGGCATTGAGCATTCAAAGAAAATCAAAAAATATCAGATTCACAATGAACAAAATATAAATGGATGTAAAGCTTCGTAAATCGCTTGTCTTTATTAAATACCTCAGATAGCAGTATAATATATTACTTCTCGAAGTAATTAAGTCATCATCAATAAATTAAAACCATTTTATACCAATTTAACCCTTTTAAATCGTATGTTGGCATTATTTCTTCAATAAATTGACAATAAAATAAGTGTTTCTTTATTTCTTCAGAATTTACCTCAATGTCAAGTTTTAGTTTTGTAAACCTGGATAAATCACATCACATCGAATTAGATTTTTTTTTATTTATGGGATCGTTTATTTATTTTCTGTTTTTTTCAGTGCTACAACATGGAAGATTATTCTATTAAGCTATATCAATCCTTTAGTTCACAAAAAAGATGTTCATAAATAATCAGGTCCTTAGCCATTAAATTGCAATAAAAATTTTTTTGTTTAGATAATTTGATATGTCATTATATAGTACACTTTAATAGCTTTTTGATTACAATGACCTTCTTACTATTATCATTTATCATTTTCAACTGATTTATAGTTTACTTTTTTAAATCTTTTTGAAGAGTTTAAAGATTTATTTTGACAACTCAGGATTGATAGTTTCCTATTATTTCTTTAATTATCTCAAATAACTTGCAAATTTTCAGACTTAGAGAACGTGTTTGCTTTCTAAATTATCATTAGATTACTTCAACAATTACTTAATTACTTGTTATACATAACTAGCTTTGAAGTTTTTTTTAAGGTAAAATTATTAAATTTAAAGTAAGTCATACAGTTTATATTTATTTTTGGGTTGGACTTTCATTATACTATTTTTGAAGTATTTTCATCCTTTTTATTTAATTAGTGTGCAAATGCATTATTATACTTTGAAGAACATCTAAATCTATATTTTTAAATTAGCCCAACTTGAAATTGTGCATTGACATATATTTTTTTTTGAGTTACATATTGCAAATAAAAAAGCAACATTTATAATCTATGAGTTTTTTTGAGTGATAAATATTTATTTATAGTATTCAAAATGAATTCAATTTGCATGTATATTTCACCCTTATATTTATTTTGATCAACTAAATATATTCTCTGACATAAACAAGAGTAGTTAATCAAAATTGATGTTGTTTAGATTGTTCTTTATAATTAATATTTTATAAATTGAGTTTTCAATGAATTCCAAACGCGCTTTAATTCATAGAGGGATCGTTTGTGGAGAATATTTCATGTATTGATTTACTCACATTTTTTCGATTATGAAAACTAGGAAGTTTAATACTGCTTGTTCGAGGCTAAAGTCTAAAATTTAAATTAGTTTGATGCACAGAAGTTCGAATAGAACTTCTTCTATCTTATCTAAATTAGAAATTTACTAAAAATAATAAAACAATTTCAATACTAGGTTTTTCATATTTCTGTAAAAATTCAAATTCATGTTTTCTTTGATGAGGTTTATAGATTTCTCTTGAATCGTCATGAAATTAAGACATTATTGGTTTTATTCCATCATAGGTCAATTTCCTTAGATTTTTCATTTGGTTGATTCTGTAATTTAGTGAAAAGGCAGCATTATTCGACATATTAAACAAATAAATTTTATTATTATTATAACTAAATTGATTGTCATTTTAATGTAAAGAAACTAATTCACACATATTATTTGACAAGTTAAAGAGTAAAAAGCAAGATTTTCATTTGAATTCATAGAAAATTATCATTATTTGCTAGATTCATATCATAATGTTTATTTTTGCATATTTAAGAATGTGTATAAAATTATCAAAGCTAAATTATAAATAAACAGATCCATACAAAATTGTTTTTGAAAAACTATAATTACTATAAGATCAAAATTTAACAAACATAATTAGATTGTTCTTCCGAAATGAAAGATATTCGAAACTAACAAGAATTTGATTTCCTACTTTATTTTATGGAGCTGTCTTTCTTCCGTTTAGCCAGTTATGTTTTGGAGCATCTAAAACTAATGAAAGTAACTATAATTGTATAAATTAATTTACAATTGAGTTATGCTTTAGGATTTTCGTTATTTCTTTATTTAAGGAAGGTTTTAGGGGCCCTATGTAATGGACTAAAATTACTTGACTATAAATAGGTTTAGAATGATAGTCCTTATCTTCTTTAATAACAGTCGTACCAGCCTGCATTAAATTGTAAAATTTACTGATTTCAGAATAACAAAGTAATTTAATTTTTTATATATTGTTATTGAGATCAACAACAGAATTATTATCAGAGGTTAGTG